TATATATATATATATATATATATTAAAATTATAGACAAAAGAGTTTTCCCTTAAGAGCCGAATAAAGGTAGTATATATATACATACATACATACATACATACATACATACATACATATTATATATAAATTTTAAAAGGCAAATGGGAAAAACCCACAAAACAGCAAACGGCCACATAATGCAAAACTATACATTTATTTATTTACCTATGCAATCAGTTCCAACTGGTCGGTAGCCCTCGTTACAACCACATGTAAAGCTTCCAATAGTATTGTTACAATAACCAGCAGGAGATGTTGCACAATTATTACCATTGTTATCGCATTCATCGACATCTTAAGAAGAAAAATATTGTATTTTATCCGGTTAAAAACACCTAGAAGCACATGATCCAAGTGAGCTAACTACATGTAGTAAACCAGGTGGCTTAGTAACTATAATATCCAAATTAGATAATTAGCATGATCATCAGGATCGACATCATCATCATCGGCATCATTTTCAGAGACATTAACGTCCTTGCCGGCAACATCATCATCGCAATCGTTGTCGTCGTCGTCACCGCCGCCGTCGTCGTCGTCATCCTCATCATTACCATTTTAATCATCATCATTGTAATCATCATCATCAATATCATCATCATTATGTGGCAGGTGCATCAGCTGTGGCTTGGACTCCCAACCTTAAAGTCAGGCCATTTTCACTTTGCAGTCGCTTGTGGCCATCTACATTTGTCTCTCTCTACCCAGGAGTATAAATGTGTACCTGGATGTTGTGGCATACTAAGTGAGCAGAAAAGGTAGCACTTTGTGCTAGTTTGCCGTTGTATGTTACCCAGTGACAATAACGCCCTGCACCTTTGATAATTGATTTTAAGTTTAATAGCGATATATAAATCTTTAGCAGTATCATCATCATCAGCCATCATTGCTTTAATAAGAATAAGAGCACTTTTTAAATTTATATTATGATGTAAGAAAATAAAATATAAGAATTCAAAAAAGATACAACAGTCATTACAAAAGCAATTACACTGGCCTAACTCAGGACTAGTGGTAAGTCAAAAATACACTGGCATTTTCAACCAAACAGCATTTGAAATAAAATAAGCTATTAGGCCTAATACAAACCAAAACAATTGCGTCCGTTGTCGTTACTAGCATATCCATCATTACATTGACAAGTGTAACTTCCATCCGTATTGGTGCAAAGGGCTAAATCGTCACAATCGTTTCTGCCAGACTGACACTCATCATCATCTAAAATAAATATTTAGAGTATAAGAACTTAACTTTAATTTAAACGGGGAAAAAACCGGTTGAATCTAGCATTAAATCCTTAATGAATGCCAACGTTCACTTAGATCATGGAGGAAGGTAGACATATATAAAAGGATATAGATTTATGGATATAACAAATTTTCATAGTGTATAATTATTTGCTTTATAAGTTGCCTATTTGTTAAATGTTGAAAAAAAATAGTTTAATAGTTAATGTTATGCTTGTATTGTTTCATTCCAAAATTCAAATGAAGATTCAGTACCTTTTCGTGAGTTCTAAGTTGTTTTTTTTCAATAAGATAAAATATAAGTACTTGTAATGAACAGTGCTGAACATGAAATTTGGGTACTTTTGTAGTTACAACATGAACGTTAAATATAAAAAAAAAACCATCAAAAACGTAATCCAAATTACCAATATTTTAAATCTATCACAAATTACATTGACAGTCTATGTGAGTGGGACAAAATTAGGCCTAAGGTGTTATTATTATATCATCATAAATAAATTCAGATATAGTATATGTAATTTATCATTTTGTAAGTAACGCAAAGTGTTACCAATGTAATTGTACATGTTATTCAACCTGTATATCGTCCTACCTTTACATATAATCGATGTTATATTGTAACTGCCATCGATGCATACTGACGTAACTGTGAAAGATCTGCCAGTTGATGGCCTGTACCCAGTATTACATCCAAATGTAATGCTACCACCATGAATTGTGGAACCATTCACATACCCACGGTCTGGAGCAGATGGCAGTACACAATTTTCTGTCAAAAAAGTACACAGGTATTAAGCATTCAAAAAAAAATCTTAACGGTATATATTTTTTCTATCAGCTAAATCATGAATGAACAATTGTCAGAACCTGCGTTTTCATTCAGTTAAGAAGTCATAGTTAGATAAAAGTGGATTGGACTTTTCCGATGTAAGATACATCAAGGATAACCCACTTACTCGCTTCTGAGACTAAAAACACAGGATAAAAAATCTACCCTCCTGCTATTTCTTAGTCAAGGTTTTGTGTTGGGATTTTTTAATCTGAATAAACATATTTCCACTTTTGTATTATTTACCATGTATATAGTTCTTTATATAGTCTATTAATACTGTACAATTTTATTAATCATAATTTAGAATTTGATTCTGTTACTTTAGCTATAGTTACAACAAATAATTATACACTTTAACTTACCACGGCAACTTGGAATTTCAGTAAAATTTCCATCACTGCAAGTGATGGTTTGAGGTCCAATTACTGAGTAACCACTGAAGCACCCAAATTCTACGGATTCACCATTTCTATAGAAGGCATGTGCATATCCATATATAAACCCTTTCGTTGGAGGAGCCGGTGACACACATTTACCTGCGAACAATCAAAACACCATATACAAATAAACAAGGCAAACATGAATGTTGTTACACTGCAGTCTATCAAAGCATAATGGGCTAAAGGTATTAAAAATATAAACCTTGAAGAATTTATTTTTATTTTGTGTACTTGTAGTTTATTTGATCTTACCAAGGCAATTCAACAGAAGGACGCACATCTCGGGATATCAAAGGTTATAACTCTGGCATCGACATTCTAGGTGCACGCGCGTCCCTACATGCTGAACGTCACAAAAACCATAGCAACCAGACCATAAACCGTCAGCGTACGCGACGAATTACCCACACGCGTGTGTTAGTTGCCATAATAATCGCGCATCGTATGGTGATTACAAAGGCCTAATGATATTTTGCACTAACATTAGACTGAAATTATATTCTTCATTTCAACATTAATTTTACCGATATTGTGTATTGTTGTTCATGAGACTCACTTCGCAACAAAAAATAAATAAATGTTCTGTATCTACTCAAATGTTCATTTTGAGCACCTTAGTCCAACATTATCAAAATGACAGTTTAATGTTACATAAGAACATGAAATTTTATAAAATTCGTAAATTTTCAATTGCTATAACTTTTCATTTTCTTGGTCAATTTTCACAAATCAAATTGCAGCTTATAGAAGCATTTAACAAGAAATCAGATGTAAGAGACATTGCGAAGTACCCAAAATTAATAAAATAGTAAATAGTACCACCATAAAACGTATGGCACGCATAGACTAATAATTGACGGCTGTACTCGCAACTAGTATCGGATTGTCGATGCCACAGTAAAGATCAAAGGACTGTACGCACGCGCTATGTTCGAGAGGGAGATGTGCGTCCTTCTGTTGAATTACCTTGATCTTACTGTATATAGTCCATACAGAGCATAATGATTATGAAAACCTGTGTATACTAAAGGTCTGCATACAAAGTCTTGGATTACAATGGACCTTCCCTTGGATACTGTTGCTAAGGTCCCAAAACGACAGTGGCTATGTTCTTACGTGGCAGCTAACGGTTAGCAGGATCCGGATTACAAACATACGGGCTCACCCATGCGTTCATACAAGAAAATTCCCGATCCTGATACCAAGTTGATGAGCGGATACTGGCAAATAGGAAACTGGAAATGCGTACATATGATTGGTTAATGATAGAAACGCACTCAACTTGCTAACCGATAGCACTCGCTAATCGTTAGTGTATCCGGATCCTGGTAACGGTTGGCGATAACTGATTTGGCATTCTCACATGGGTAGGCTACAACGGTTAGCGCTATCGGTTAGCTCCCAATCCGGAAATTCGTCGGGGAGAAAAAAATTATATGTATTTTGCACATATTAGTAGACTCTAAAATCGATTAAATAAGCCTTTTAAAATTGTCAAAATTTTCAGAAGCCCCTGGACCACTTTCGATGCATTCTAAGTGCCACTCGCCATGCCCTCTTTGCTCTCAGCGGGGAAATCTTCCCCCTCATCGGGAACCTTCCCCCACCCCCCGTCAGGCAAATCCAGGGCCACCCCTGGTGTGAACCTGACCAGTGCAAAAGCATATGCACGTGCATTTGTGGGACAACACATGTGCTTTAAAGACACACGCATACCCAGCTTTGTTCTGATTGGTCAGTTGTTAAGTTTGATTGGCAAACAGAAAAGGTCCATCAAAATGTGCACACATAGACTGATCCTTACGAAAAGCGACCTAACGATGTTAATATTTTTTTAGAGAAACACTGTACCATCACAAAGCTCAAATGATTCATCATACAAATCAGGACAATCCGGAAATTCATCACAGGTATACTCGTCGAATATACAGTAGCTTCTAGGGCATCTAAAGAATGTTGCAGGACACGAACCTAGAAAGTAATTAATGATAACATGTAAAATACTATCTATGTGGATTGCAAGCAACTGCTGGAAATTACTACAAGTCACACTATAATTTTCAATGGCGAAATACACATAGGCTAACGTACGGAAAATATACAAATGGTGCGTGAGCTTTCAAGATGTTTTTTAGTCGATGGATCGAAAAGTCAATTATGGCATAAATACAAAAATTATTGATTAAAGAACCCAAATGAAATTTTGATACGATACTATATCTAGTTCTAAAACTTTTATTTATATCTTATGTGATCGGGTTTTTGCTATCACATTGTTGTTTGTTGTTTTTAAGATGTTGAGTTTTTACAAGAACCAACCAGAAGATATCTCTTGCACACAATTAAAAAAACTTTTAAATTATATAAATCTACGCCCCAAGATTAGAACTCAAGTACCTTATTAACTGCCAGGTTACAGCGTCTTAACCAATTACGTGAGGTAAACGTAATTCTTAAATAGTATAGTTTTCCAACATGACATTTTAAATTGTTTAAAAATGCTTAGCCTATGGTCTAACTCACAGTTACAATTGTCACAGGACTCATCTTCATTGTTGAAGCAATCTGAAATGTCATCACAGAGGTAATCAATGGGAATACATTGATCACTATTGCTACATTGCCACTCATTCGGAGCACAGACTGTAAAGAAAGTTATTCAGTTAATTTTTTCAATTCAATTTAATTTATTCACATAATGCTTCGAATAATAATGACAGAAAATAAAAGCATACAGTAGATAGGCAATGCATCTATTTCTGTTGTCAAATTATCATATAATAATATTCTAATTATGATTGATGACATCGCATAAATAGACTCATGATTGGTAATATGACAAAATATGCATAAGAAACTGAATTTCAAGCTAGTTAATAATGAAAATATAATAATGGTTTGGTAGAGATAATAATAATAGTGTAAATGACAATAATAAGTAAAAACACCAGGAGGCATTAAGTAATACAAACAACGGTCTTTAATCGTGAACCTGATCGTGGAATCAATAGAGAGCCTGATCGTGTAGCAAACATGTTTCAAGAATAAAATTCTCGTCAGTGCGAACACAGTGGCGGATCCAAGAATTCAAAATAAAGGGGGCCCCATGGAGTACATTAGCAGACGGAGAATCTATATCACTCCTGCCCCACAACGGTTGGTGCTGAGGTAAGAAAAATTGTGATTATGGCACGTCTCTAGATATGGCTGGAAATTGCACTCTCAGACTTAAAATTTGAATATAATTTTCTTTGTATCTCAATTTTGAAAAAAAATTTGAACAATTTAGGGGGAGGGGGTGGCCCCACCCTTGAATCCGCCACTGGAGCAACAAATTTTGCCAGAGCTTATATGGATTAGAGCATGTGTATGTAAATTGGCATAGAGTAGTGACTAGTAAAGCGAAGCCTTCAATGCAAACACCACATGTCACTATGCATGATTGTTTACTTGCAATAATAATAATAGCGGTAGTAATAAAATTAGCATTAAAGCAATAACACTTAGTATTTTAAAAAATTTCATAGTTAATAACATGATTAGTATGATGATCAAACAGGAACAGTAGTAATAACTAACAATAACAATACAGCAATATTACTGTAGTAATGATAAATTTGAATAAAAATTATTTATTTTTCATTCAGTTTAATTAATGTTATTACCATCACAATAATGCAATAATGGTGTACTAAATGATAATGGTAATAAAAATAATAATAGTTTTATAAAATTAAAAATGTAAAAAGTTAAAACTATTTTATAATTCATTACTATTATTAATAGTAATAGTGATAATGATAGTAAAAAATAATGGTGATAATAATAATAATAATAATAATAATAATAATAATAATAATAATAATAATAATGATGATAATAATAATAATAATAATAATAATAATAATAATAATTAATATAATAATAGTAATAATAGCAATGAAATAGAGGCAGCAATAAAAATAGCATTAAAGGAATAATACTTAGTATCTAAAAAACTGTCATAGTTAATAAAATTAGTATAATGGTCAACAGGAACAAAAGCAATAATTAACATAGCAATACAGCAATATTACTGTAATTATAAATTTAAATAAAAATATTTTTTTTCAAGCATTGTAGCATTCAGTTTAATTATGATTTTTGAGGTAAAACCACTAGATGAAGACAACCAATCAACCAGTGGTTTTACCTCAAAAACCATATTTTTAAACATGGTGTACCGGAAGTTTTATGATTTTGTTATTATACTCGCCATGCAAACCTTCAGAAAATTTTTTTTTTATTGTTACTGTTAGTGCTACCACTACTACAATATTAATAAAGCTGCTACTGCGACACTGCTACTTCAAGTTCCACCGCCGCTGCTACTGCCACTATTATACGTCTAGTGCTCCCTGTTAGTGTTACTATATTGTTACCATTACCTGTTGAACGTTGTGATGTAATTGTATCTATTATACCTGTTGTCACATCATCTGTTACTACCGGTGTGGTTCTATCCGTTATACGTGTCGTCACATCATCTGTTACTACTGTTGTGGTTGTATCTGTTATACGTGTTGTCACATCATCTGTTACTACCGGTGTGGTTCTATCCGTTATACGTGTTGTCACATCATCTGTTACTACTGTTGTGGTTGTATCCGTTATAAGTGTTGTCACATCATCTGTTACTACTGTTGTGGTTGTATCTGTTATACGTGTTGTCACATCATCTGTTACTACTGTTGTGGTTGTGTCTGTTATACGTGTTGTCACATCATCTGTTACTACTGTTGTGGTTGTATCCGTTAAAGGTGTTGTCACATCATCTGTTACTACCGGTGTGGTTGTATCCATTATGCGTGTTGTCACATCATCTGTTACTACCGGTGTTGTTGTACCCGTTAAACGTGTTGTCACATCATCTGTTACTACTGGTGTGGCTGTACCCGTTATACGTGTTGTCACATCATCTGTTGCTACCGGTGTGGTTGTACCCGTTAAACGTGTTGTCACATCATCTGTTACTACCGGTGTGTCTGTACCCACTATACGTGTTGTCACATCATCTGTTACTACCGGTGTTGTTGTACCCGTTATACGTATTGTCACATCATCTGTTACTACCGGTGTGGTTGTACCTGTTAAACGTGTTGTCACATCATCTGTTACTACCGGTGTGGTTGTACCCGTTATACGTGTTGTCACATCATCTGTTACTACCGGTGTGATTGTATCCGTTATACGTGTTGTCACATCATCTGTTACTACCGGTGTGGTTGTACCCGTTATACGTGTTGTCACATCATCTGTTACTACCGTTGTGACTGTATCCGTTATACGTGTTGTTACATCATCTGTTACTACCATTGTGACTATATCTATTGTACCTGTCACATCTAAATATAATTTATTATTTTTTCAATTATCAACACTAAATTGTAATCACAGAATGCACCATTTACAAAAAAAACAAACTAATTACTCTAATATATGAAGGTTAACATCTCGAATTAGGCATCAAAAGATAGACGATTTATCTTCATCTTTTAATGAAATAAATAATTTGTCTACCAATTTCCAAAGCAGATTACTAGTCGGTATATTGCTTGTCAACGTTTGGGACCCAAAAGCGTCCTCTTAATACTGGCGTGTTCCCTAAACAGAGGTACTCCTATTTTTGTAACACTAACCAAAAATGTGAAATTGTCCCCCTTTTAGGCCTATGGGTTTTTGCACGGAGTCATAAATTGATGACATATTCTTTATAATTTTAATTTAATTGACCTAAGAACGAGTTACAATTGATTTAAACTGTTCATAACAAATGATTATTTTGAGTTTATATGTTGTCATTAGGCAAATAACACTCAAATTATTGCCTCTAGCAAGAATTAAATATGCGTTAAAATTGCCTACTGCAAATGTTTATGCTGTCGTTTTTTGAAAATTTTTCAAGGGACTATGCTTAGCAGAGAGGTTTATTCTATTTGTACTGAAAATATTATTATAACATCATAATCAAACATATTACAGTAATTAGTATATTTATCTTTAATAACAGAAGTTATCAAGCAAATAATAACATAATCACCTGACTGTCAGTAGTAAAATAACTTTAAAGATTAATTATTAATTTATATAATAAAAAAAAATCAATGAGAAAATACCTGGTGTTGTTACAAACGTCTCTGTAAAAAAAACAATTTCTGAAAAAAAAAAAAAAAAAAAAAAAATTTACAATAATTAGTGTATTTATCTTTAATAACAGAAGTTATCAAGCAAATAATAACATAATCACCAAACTATCAGTAGTAAAATAACTTTAAGGATTAATTATTAATTTATATAATTTAAAAGAAAATCAATGAGAAAATACCTGGTGTTGTTACAAACGTCTCTGCAAAAAAAAAAAAAAATTTACAGCAATTAGTGCATTTATCTTTAATAACAGAAGTTATCAAGCAAATAATAACATAATCACCTGACTATCAGTAGTAAAATAACTTTAAGGATTAATTATTAATTTATATAATTTAAAAAAAAAATCAATGAGAAAATACCTGGTGTTGTTACAAACGTCTCTGCAAAAAAAAAAAAAAAAAAAAGGTTACAGGGAGTGAAAAAGAATGTAATCTTAAAGTACAAAAATAAATGAAAAGGAAAGAAATGTGGTAGTGGTGGGAGTTTACATTCTACATTAAGTAGTCAAAAAAAGGATAAGGGGAAATCCTGAAACGGCAACTTACCTTCAACAGTAATTACAACAGTGCAGTTCTGAATGTTACCAGAACCATCTGCGGCCGAATATACATAAGAATATGTTCCTGCTGATAAAGTGGCAGAATAGACATCGTGATACCTACTCAAATTTCCACAATTATCCTCACTTGTTGTGGTATTCCATTGCACAAGCTGTTCTGTTTCTCCAACGCCAAGGGTTACATAAATCGAATCAGCACACACAATTGTTGGTTGAGAAGTATCTGTACATAAGTGTGTATTATACGTTAACACACAATACATTATTTAAGAATCGTATGAACCAAAATACAAATATTGTTGCTTGACGAGGTCATGGAAACCCGGGTCTCATAGTGGTCTTTAATTTGAGGGAAATTCTCAGAGGGAAATTATGAATGAAGAGTTAATCTAAACTAGTGAAAAATGAAATTCTAAACTACCACTTACTTTAATATTGATATATATTATATTAGATAAATAATAGTGAGTTCTGATACTGTTAATTATTAATGATGAACAACATGATCTGAAAATAGTATGGCTAATGTTTAATCTATATTTGGGATAAGCCATTATCTTGTTACTGTTTGGTCAGAAGAGCACTCTCTATAACGATAAATTTTAAGTTGATTTCATGTCCTCCAGACGAGATCTAAAATTTATGAATATAAATACGCTGCACACATTCCTCACAATAACATGAAACCGTTCTAAATTACTCATCGTTCTATACCGAACATTACTAACCAATAACTTCAGCATCAAATGAGCAATTTGATGACAAACCAGCATTGTCAGTCACAATACAACTAATGGTTGTCAAGCCCAATTCAAGATATGATCCAGATACATTACTACAAACAGGAGATAATTCAGAGTCAACATTATCTGATGACAAAACACTGTAGGACAGTAATCCTGTACAATAAGACCCCGCTGTTATAATTTGCTTGTCAGGACAAACGATGATTGGTGCAGAACAGTCTGAAAAATAAACCAGTTTTATATCTTTACATTTGTTCATAATTAGTTTTATGTTGCAGACAAAATATGTATGTAAAATATTTTTATCTATTAAGTTATATATCTGTTATTACTTATCATTTTCAAAAGCAAAATGTTGTTGTGATTTGTATAATTGTCATCACTGTTGACATTGACAATGTCCTCCTCAAATACAAAACAATAAACCTACCTTCGACAGTTACATTGAATTCACAGAAGGCAATGTTACCAGAACTATCTTTTGCTTTGTAAACAACAGTACTTGTGCCCACACTAAACACACCCGTGCTTGTATTCGAACTCAAGCTGATGTTTGAACATGGTAAATCAGTAGTAGCAGGTTCTTCCCATGAAACTGTTGCATTAGCAGTACTATCATCTGAACACAGCAAAATATTATCTGGACATTCTAGATGTGGAGGTGTTGTATCTATCAATATAGATAAAGGTAACTTAATACAACACAAAGTTTATATTCACAATGCAAAAAAATCATCAAGAAATGTTGCAAATTCGAAACTTTTCTAAAATGTACAAAGTGTCTATATATATGTGTGCGTGTGGGTGTGTGGTATATGCTGCAGAAGACATTATGAGATGGAGACTTTGATGGTCTATGCTGTTACAGTTTTTCAGACCGGTAGGTTTCAAATCCCAGACATTTATTGAGGACCATTTTTGACATTATGTACAGCCTTTGAAATAAAATTAATTATAATATAGATATAAAGGAGTGTTAGTAATTCTCATTGATATCAAATGCATACAGAACTTAACAAGCGAAATTAATTCCAGGGACCTTTTATACCTACCTTTAACAGACACTGTAAACAGACAATAACCTGTGCGACCTCCTGAATCAGTAGCTGTGCAGTTTATTTCTTCTTCTTCGCCAAGAATATATACCTCCCCGGATTGAGAAGTACATGATGGCTCAAGACGTTGTCCATCCGTGGTCATTGCAGACACATTATATTCAAGAGTGCCATTGCACTCTGCATTAGCTTCCAGAACAATGTCATCAGGACAGTCAACCAAAGGATAAGAACAATCTAAAAATTGTATAGTACAGTCTTGTAGAAAAATATCTTAATAAAATACTAGATTAAACTGATGTACCACACAAAGTTAAAACAATATCAGTTTTAGTAACAGTGTTGCTTTTTAAAGGTTAAGTTAGATACTATGAAAACAAAGGCCTAATTACAAATAAACCGATTAATAGTTTATATCATAATTTAAATACAACATATTATTAATTATTAAGAATATATTTTGTTAAACCTGTTTAAATAAATATTTATTTAAAATAATAATATATAACAATATATTTCTGTATGTGATGTTTGTGTGTGTCCCATTTTAACATTATTGAAACGGTGTAGAGACAACATGATAGCAACTTTGGTAAGGAGAAACACCTCCACTAAAATATGATAGTATTGTTTTGAGAAAAACGTATTGCCAAAATCGGGATTTGACCCAAAAACATTCCAATTACCCAAATGGTAATACAATTTTTTGTATAAACATTTACATGAAAGTACAGCATTTACATTTTTATAGCCAAACATTTTCAAGTAAAAATTGTACAAAATTTTGGTTAACTTTTCTTTCTTTTATTTTACAATTTGATCTATTACATTTAATCTGTTTTGTTTCAACATTTCATATTGCCAACAAGCTTCAAAGCCTGTTTTGATTGGATGTAATTTGGAATACTATTGGTACAAGAGATGCATAAAAAAAAAAAACATGCTCATAGATTTTAAAAAACATCCTAGAAATATTAAAACTTATTTCCATTAGGGTTAATTACTGATAATAATAATTGTATTCTTGTAAAAGAAACTGAATAAATGTTGATTTGATTTGAGATGAAATATGAATCATTTCTTTCCAATTACAAAATGGAAAAACAGTAACACATATAACCGCCTGTTTGGCATTACTTCACTCAAGTCTCAAATGGGGATCTGGCAACACCCAACTTAATAATTGCCCACCTTTAACTCTTCATATTGTCACTGGCGTACATGTTTAAGTACTGTGGAACGACTTACTACGCAATATCAATACTAATTAACAAGACTATTTCTAGAACCCTAGGTATAGATGCCAACAATACTCAATAAATTGAAAGGTGGAGCTTGTACCTTAAATTGAAAATAATTCGCTTTTATTAATTTAGTTTCTCAATTCTGGGATGTCTTTGGTTAATCAAGATTCATTTTGTTGTTCTGTAAAGGGAATTTTTAAATTTTGTTGAACATCATGAATTTAGTTTATCATATATTCTGATGTTTTTACAATATAAATTATAATTTGAATTAAAGTGAATTGAGTTAAAATTCAAGTAAATTTTCATGAAATAACGTACAGCTTTAAATCAGGGGTTGCGCTATGATTTGCCCAAATGGGTCCGATTTCTCTGAAGGAGGTATAGGGGTTTGGAGATGATGTTCCAAAGGGGAAGGCTGATTTCCTGGAAGATAGTATAAGTGGGCAGCCAGAAAACCCTTAAAGGGGTTCCAGGTTCGAAGCCAATACCACACAATTTAGTAATTTAAGAAGCTTACTTAATCGATTTTAGAGTCCCACGTTCTGTAAAAATTACATAGAATTGTTTGTCTCTCTAATGAATAGTGTTTTTTCCTTTAAAATGCATGACAGAAACAGCTTTTAAAAGGCGTATAAAGAGAAAAATGGCAGTTTCACATTTGTAGATTCAATAAAATTCAAAAAAAAAATATGAAAATAAAAAATGTATTTGTACCTTGGACAAACACAATAAAAGTACATGAGTCTTCATTGTCTCCACTGTCTACAGTAGTACAACCTACAATTGATGTTCCTATATCAAATGCATGCCCGGATGTATAATTACAGGTAGTTTCAACAGAGCTGAGATCATTGTCTATAACGTTGAGATCTGGCCAAGTAAAAGTAGCGGTGCATTGCGGCCCGGCTTCCAACGTTTGAGAGTCAGGACACGAAATTATAGGTGGTTCACAATCTATCCAAACATTTACAAATATATGAGAAATTTAGTTGAAAACAATAATAAGAAAAAGTATAAGTAAGCATACAAATACAATATTAAATTCTATGTCTGAAAGATAATACCTTCAACAACAATATCAAAAGTGCAACTCTCTGAATTTCCATTACAATCTTCAGCATTTATTGTAACAGATGATGATCCTATGCCAAAGATGCTTCCACTATCTTCACTTCTATTGACTGTTATATTTTGACAACAGTTGTCTGTCTCATTTGTAGAATTCCAAAACACAGTAGCGTTTGCTAGACCTTCATCGTTGCACTTTGTAACTGGTTCAGGACAATTGAATATTGGTGGTGTTAAATCTAGGAACAATGTACAAACACAATTATTTAAACCCTCAGCACTTGTACAATAATTAGCAAGTTTAATAATATTGAAATATAATTAACAGTCAATATAAATATAAATCCCGGTGATTGATAAATAAGTAATTTAATATATAAAAATTATATTACATCATTTATATACAATAGTAATAAGGCATATGTTCCATAGAGGCCAGTCTTCAACAACAGGCACACAGATCATATTCATTGTGTAAGTTACATGGTTGACCCAGTAATAGATGAAGAAAAACTTCACATTTTGTTATTTCATGCATCGGTATCACAAAATAAACATACATAACAAGTACAATATAATATTTAGTATTGAAGATTGCATTGCTAGCAATTTTAAAGATTTCTGTTAGAAATTTAGTTGAAATGCTTTACCTGACACTGTGACATTAAAGGCACATGTTGCGGAATTACCAGCAGAATCCATGGCACCACAGTTTACAGTGAGAAATTCTCCTGCTTCTAAATAAGTACCATTTGATTGATCACACATTGCATCTAATATTTCGCCCGAGTTATCAGAAACGTCTATAGTGCCCCATGTTGCAACAGCTTGGCAGCTTTCATTAGCAATTAGAGCCAATTCACCAGGACATGCTATTACTGGTTTATCACAATCTGAGGAAGTGGTATTTTATTCATGGAAATATGATTCTGAATGTAAGCATAAAATTATATAGTTATTAAAGTACTGTATTTAAAACATATATTTTTTTCTATTTTAACTAATCGAATATTGATAAAAACATCAAATCAATTATCCATTTTATACTTCAGGGTGTTCCGAAAGTGCTGATACCTTTATAGATTTATATTGTCGATAAATAATAGTAAAAATATAAGACTGAAAACACATTTAAATAGAAAAATCTTATAGGATTATTTTGGTACCAAACTCTCAAGTACAGTTATCTGTGTTGCCAAATTACAAACTAAAGTTGTTTTTTCTTTCATCATCGTCATCATTATTATCATCATTAATACTACTACTACAAAAACAGAAAGGTTTTTACCTTCTACGATAAAAAAGAATTCGCATTGGGCGTCATTGTCATTGCAGTCAACAGCTGTGTATGTTACAGTACTGAGTCCCAACTGAAGAGATGTACCATTATTTATATTAGTTGATAATGTGATAGAATCACAGCAGTCATCAGACGCTGTTGCTGTGTCCCAGTATGCTGTGGCAGCATTTGTCCCAAATTCGGCACAGACAGTTATATTGGATGGACACAGTAAATTTGGTTCAGTTGTATCTACAAATAAGTAAAAATATGCAATTAGTGAACAATTAGCTTTTATATACCTCATACATAGATTCTAGGCATCTGACTGGTTAAAAAGCGGAGCAATAGAAAGTACTATTCCCCTCAAAAATAGTGCTTTTTTGACCTGTCGCGATGTGCAAACTCTAGGCACACTACATCGCGCTGCTGACGGTAAAGGCGACTACGACCTCTGCGAGGAGATTATCCCCTGACCGCGTCACGGATCAGCAAATATACGATAAACAAATATAGAGGCTGCTTGTTTCGAGATGAAGGAGGGCTAGCCTATGCCTAGCATTACTTCTTTATGAAGCCGATAGAAAAAGCACCAAAAAACAAATTAAATATGTCTTAACAATATTCGACAAACATATTGCAAGACGATGGGTGCTGTTGAAATTGAGGAAATAAGCAAAGAAGAGCTAGACACACTCTCTGATTGCTAGCTAGTCGAGTAGTAGTAGGCCTAGTATGCCTCTAATATAACAGGCTAGGAAGTAAGTACTTTTTTAGGCCTCGTAGAATCTATGTATGAGGTATATAAAACAAATATTGACTGCTCTATATTCGGGGAACAGTGAAATCTATTGCCCCTCGGTGATGTGGAGACCGTAGCCTATCATCAAATTCCCGATCACACGAATGAAAATCATTCTATAATTCAGATTAATTTGAAAGATAATCTTTTTGTCACCGGACCAATAACTGTCTGGTGAGGAGCACTCAGACAAGCTGTACTAAATATATAAGCGTCTGGACTTTTTTTGATAATATACATTTCTGCCATGCCCCACCCCATTGATATTTTTGCTACCCACATATAGCAAGCGTACGCAAAAATGTATATTTGTGTACAACAAGACACTCTGGAAAGTTCCATTGGTGGGTAGAAAAAATTGAACGATGAAACACAGGTTTAAGTCATAGACTACAAATTCTAAAACAAACTGCCTATTCCTAATGAAAAAAAATATATATTTTTGTTCTGTTAGTTTAAATCAGTGCATGTTTATATTATGTAATGTAAATAAAAAACATTTTCCAAGAAAAATGATGAAGAAAAATAGAAGACTTTTTCCCATACAAAATAACACTACCTCTGTTTTATATAATTTTAATTGTTTTTAAATATTGTTAGGCTATGTTATGAAAAACGATATGAAAATGCTGTCATATACTCTACCTATTATAGAATGCTAATTTGAAGCATAATTTGTAAATCATAAAACATGATCTAAATACTGCATTTCTGACATTACGTAACTAAAGAAATAACTGAATGAGATAACATGCAACCTATCTTCTTTTACTTGTCATGAATTATTGCTCTTTTTTATCGAAACTAATTGCGATGTTCAAATACTAGAGGGTAAGACGAGCGAAGCGAGCGCACTATCTTGTTTAATTAATTCATAACAAATGTCTTACCGAAAACATCCACGTAGAAGAAACAGAAACCAGTGTTTCCTTCACCGTCAGTAGCATTACATGTTACTTCTGTACTACCAAATTCAAACTCGCTAACCAAAGCCTGATGACTGCATACAACATCAATATCACCCACCGCTATGTCTGTAGCTGTTGGCATGGACCAGTTACCAACAGCAGTGCAGTTATCATTGGCATCAATTGTAACATTGTCTGGGCACATGATCATTGGTGGTTCACAATCTGAAATTATTATAAACATTAGATATCACACCTTACTGCTGACAGCGTTTTTCACGGTGCTTTTGCTTCTCCTCGGCTTTTATATCCATTTGTCCGTTTGTTGTCTTTTTTTATTTTGCCGGAAAGAATAAATTATAAATCATTGAATGTCACGTGCTGTAACATTTTTTTGCCTTAGTTATTCTAAAAACTACATTATACCTAGTTCTATTTCTTTTTGAAATAAGATTGTAATTGTAGGTGATATTATAGTAGTCGTAAATTGGAACGAACACGTCAAGTATTTTAAGTTGTGTAACTTTAGTATTGACATATTTTAATGTTTTCTTTTAAATGTGTATTGCATCCAATTAAAATATATAAAATTATTCAAATAAATAAATTATGGGTTTTAAAGTGCTTACCTTCTACAGTTATAACAAATGTGCATTCAGCACTATTGCCGTTGCAGTCCTCAGCTGTGTATGTTATATTGTTAGGTCCCAACTGGAGAGATGTACCATTCTCTATATTAGAGGATATTGTGATATATTCACAACAGTTATCAGACGTTGTTGGTGTGTCCCAATAAGCTATGCCAGTAGACATTCCCGGCTCAGCACAAATAGTGCTATCTAATGGACATGTTATTTCAGGTGCCGTTGTATCTGCAAAATAAACATTATAAAGAAGAGAAAGAAATATACATTATAATATAAAGCTGATTGTTATTTAGTTATACATAGCTATCTACACATCTACTAACCTTCCTACAATTACCTACTTTCTTTCTACCATGTACTTTATAATACATCAACCAAAAAATCATGTTTACAAGATGGTGTATAGCTAGTGTCTGTGAACAAGATAATTAAAAACAAAAAATCATCACTTGTATGCGTAGATTCCTAATATTGCTAAATCCACTGAAAGATGTGCTTATATCATGTTTTTTTTAATCAAGTAGTCTTACCAACAACATCCACATAGAAAGAACAAGAACCAGTGTTTCCTTCACCATCAGTTGCATTACACATTACTTTGGTACTTCCACCTTCAAACTCGCTAATCAAAGCCTGATGACTGCATACAACATCAGTTTGTCCCACTGCTATGTCTGTAGCTGTTGGCATGGACCAGTTACCAACAGCAGTGCAGTTATCATTGGCATCAATTGTAACATTGTCTGGGCACATGATCATTGGTGGTTCACAATCTGAAATTATTATTAACATTAG